ACACATATATATGTATATCTATGTGTATATATACACATATATACATATATATGTACATCTATCTGTATGTATATATATATACCTATGTATATATATGTACATCTATGTGTATATGTGTGTGTGTGTGTGTGTTTGTTTTTTTCAATGAATTGGTAAAATAAAAGGAAGGTGAAAGATGAGCATGAGAAGCTGAGGGAGTTATGTCTCCACAGGATCAAATGAGCTCAAAAGGGAAGGCATTTACTGGATGGGTAAACAGAGTGGAAGAGTATAAGCTTGCTTTCTATAAGTCTCTACAGAGTAAAGAGCTCACCCTCTTTGTTTGCTGGGAATTGGCACTTGCTAATCTATGGAACTAAAGGCATAATATTTATCTTATATGATGTTTGCATTTAAGTATTTACCTTTCAGTGTAGACACCGGGCACTGTAGGAGTAACTGGTCACCCTCTTGAGAGGTTATTTGGTTATTGAGAGGTGCCACTAGCATTCAATGGCTTTTGCACTTCCATAGGGATTCATAGGACGCAGTGACTATCTTTAGCTCTGCAGAATCGTGATGCTAGGTTTTCTTTACGCTCTGGCTCAAAAGATGCTTTATTTAGTAAAGTGGCAGCTTGCATAGGACAGAGAGAAAGGCTAATTCCTCCTGAATTGAGGTTAAAAAAGTGAGAATTTTTTCCTCTCACAACTTATTTTTATTAATTCTCTGACAGTACTACTTACTCTCTATGCATATTATGCTACATTATTTCACACTAAAATTACTGCAACATTATCAATTCAGGCAGGATTGAGACTATGAAATATTAATAAGGTTACCACTCATCTAATTTTCAAAGGAATGGCCTATATATAGGGCATGAACACAGTCCCAGAATAGTACTGGGCTCTGAGCAATAGAGAAGGACTCATAGAGCAATGATATAATAACTCAGACTGAAAAATACATATTTAAGCATATAGAATTCTAGCAGGAGATGGAGGAAGTTTTGGTTCTAAAATATATGTTGAGCGTAAATCAGGTCAGAAAAGAGGAAGGTAAAAAATTGGTATGATTGATTCCCAAGGCCAGTGTCTATGCTAGAATGAAGAATGGATGTATAGCTTTAGGAACTTGACTCTCAAGTTCAGATTCTGCCCCCAATATTGTATTAACTTAAGAAAAGTAGTGAAACTGAACTATAGTTGTTTATAAACTTTGTGGAGAGCACAAAGCCCACCTCGCAAGGATATTGTCATTAACAATAAGACAAAATGTGTGACAAGCAACCTGGATATTTTCAGGATGTGTATATATACACACGTATATATGTGTGTATATATGTATATATATTCTATAATTATTCATATGAACATTGTATATGTATACATATTCATATTATATAATTGTTCATATGAACATATTTCTCTGTATGAAGTTTTTTTGATTTTTTAAATTCTAACTTCACCATTTATTCCAACATCTATGCAATCATTTAACACTATATTTGAGTAATTATTATGCCATTGGCTTTATATTATTAAATCATATTGGAATGCTATAGAATAGAACTTCCATTATGTAAAATGCCATTTATAAAAAATGAATTTATACCATGAATAAATGGTATAAATTTATTCATTTTCCTCACATATGAAAAAATAAGAACAAGTAACTATGTTTGAGAATATCCTGAGATTAAAAGAAAGATCACATAAACTGCTTAACTGAATAAATGGTATAAATTTATTCATTTTCCTCACATATGAAAAAATAAGAACAAGTAACTATGTTTGAGAATATCCTGAGATTAAAAGAAAGATCACATAAACTGCTTAAGAGGGAATAGCCATTTAATAAATACTATCCTTGATTATTTTATCTGTTCTTGCTAGTTTTGCAAGAAACTGTTGTTTTTTTTAAACAACTTGGTTTTAATTTATATAGAGTTAATATAAATTATTAATTATATCTTAATTTTATTTTACTTACATTTTGTGTAATTATTCTGAGAAATTAAAAAATTGTTTTGCCCATTTCAACATTTTTTTTGTAATGAAGTAGTTTTTCTCTAGAGACAGTCCAGTATTACTTTTCATCTTACATACCATCATTCTGCAAGAAAATAACAATCAAAAAAATGATGAGGTTTCTCACTTTTCTATATATTTTAGACTATTTCCTTAAAATTAATCACTATTCATATACTTGTTTCTTTCTCCTAATAAGATTTCCTCTGCCCACCTTCATCTCACCAGGAAAAAGTAGCTCATTTGAATAGTAGAAAGAACAGAGGCTTTGAAGTCTGGCAAAGTACAAGGTAGATCATTTCTAAAGTTGTGATATTAAGTTACTAATG